TTTCATTTTATATAATCTCTAATGTATATTAGAATATTGTATACCTAGATAACCAAACTATGTACACGACTCATTTTATACATGTACACTGGATTAGTGTACACATGGATAACGAGACCTATGTATACTATTCATTTATACAAATTTATGAAACAAAAGATATATAACTGTTTTCATTTTATAGCGAGACCTATGTATAAAACTCATTTATACAAATTTATGAAACAGAAGATATGGAATGAAGATGTATACATGCTTTTCATTTTATATAATCTCCAATGTGCATTAGGATATTGTACACCTGGATAACAAAACCACATTACTCATTTAACCAATGTACATTGGATAAGTGTACACATGCATGGATAACGAGACCTATCTATACTACTCATTTATACAAATTTATGAAACATAAGATATATAACTGCTTTCATTTTATATAATCTCCAATGTACATCAGGATTATGTACACGTGAATAACAAAATTTATGTACATTACTCATTTATATATATCAATGTACATTAGGATAGTGTACACATGGATAATGAGACCTACGTATACTACTCATTTATATAAATTTACAATGTACATGAGGATATTGTACACATGACTATGGCTTGATCATGTACACGCGTATAACAACACCTATGTACACTACTCATTTGTACAAATCTACAATGTATATGAGGATACAATTTAATTTAATCATCAAAGTATGCAAATACAACTTGGCTTTATAATATAGTGATACAATTCATAATTTGTGTCTTGGGTCAGCACGTGTCTTGGAACATGGTTGTAGTGTATCAGAAATCTCATAGTCAAACTCTCCCCAACCAGCCTCCTTTTCCTCCACACGCTCCACCATCGGTTTCAAAACAAGCTGGATCCAAATATGCACACAAAAAAACACAAAACGCCAACACGTTACAAGTGAGCCTTAGAGTACACATGTACAACAAACCTACCCGTCCACATGGACAAAGTATATGTGTACACATGTACAACAAACCTACCCGTCCACATGTACACCAAAGGTGCAAAAACACAGAGCCAATGACGACAAACCTACCCGTCCACATGTACACGTGATATCTTGTAAAACAATTGTACACGTGGACATGAATAATATATGTACATCGTGACGATATTTGTATGTGCAATTATAACAAATTTATGAAATTGTACATGTTAATCATTGCAATGACGACCACAACCACAGTGAAAAGGATTGCATTGATATGAACATGTTTCAATAAAAAAGAGAAATTTATGACGATGTACACGTGTACAAAAATTATGTGTGCACGTTAATTATTACAATTAGATGTACATGTGTACACACATAATCTTTGTACATATATAAACTTGTACACATGTTACCTATGAACATTTGGAATCATGTTTGATCATTGGCAAGTCTACATTATCATATGATTATCTACTTATATAATTTGGTGATTTTGTTGATAATGTACACATTCATATGTATAACCAATAGTAAATCCTGATATCGTATGATTTTGTTGTATTTTATAATCTTATTCTACTTCATTTTAGGCATTTAGATTGCATTTAGGTGTGTATATTATATTTTTGTGTTCATTTGCATATAACATGAATTGAAATGCACATTTAAAAGTTTAGAGGTTAACAAATGAAGATATTCCCATAATTATGTGAGTTTAAATCCAAATAGAGATAAAAACTAAACATGATTGACCATTTTTGCAATTATAAAAAATAGCTGGAATGCACATTTAAAAATTTGGACTTAATTCATGTGGTTTTATATATACATTTTGAGAGTTTGGGGTAAAATTGAGAACATCTAAGAATTAGAGGATTGAATGTGCAAAACCATGACAATTCATCATTGTTGCTCGAGCTTCTTCTATCATGTGAAGACTGAAGAGTGATGATTCTTGATGGTCGTCACGGTGGTTTATGTCTAGGAAAAAGTTTTCATGGAGGATAATAAGCTCACATGGATCGAGTTTTTGTCGATCTGAATAAAAAAAAAAAATGTGACGGAGTTGTGTGCAGTGGTGGAGAAGAACAAAAGATGTTGTGACATAGGAGATATAGTAGTTTGGTGGACACAAGTTACAAAACACAATTTGCAATTTTTTTAAAAAGAAGATCTCCACCAAAAAAGAAGAAGGAAGAGATCTGTTCTAATATTTTTTATTAAAAAATAATTTGCTGACTAAAAGAAAAAAAAACAAGCAAGATGTTTCTAGTTTTGATTTGGTTAAAAGAAACTACCTCAATAGCAGTAAGTGTCTTTTAGTGTGATAAAAACTCAGTGACCTAGGATGTAAATCACTCTTTATAATAAATAAAACACAAAATAATGCATTGTTTTGAACTAACAGCGGTGGCAGAACAAATGTATTTGATGACAGCGGAGAAAGGGATGTTGTTCATACAAGAGATGAAGGAGGGTATGAAGAAGTGAGAGGACAATGGGTGGTGCATGAGAAGACAGCGGTAGCAATTAAATAATATATACCATTTTAGCTATGTTTTAGTAGATAGTAACATGAAACACACATCAATTATAGCATTAAACGTGCAAACCACAACAAAAAAAATTACAAGTAGTATGGGTATTGTATTAAGAACCAAAAGGTTAAAAGCCCAAAAAATATTATGATTGTATAATATTTATTTACAATATTTCAGCAGGATTCATCCATTCTATTGGTATATTGTTACTTGCTTGGGTTTTTAAATACAATGAAAGGTATGGTAAAAGATATTCATGTGTTGATATTGAAAGAAACCAAATAAGATTTCCATAAAATAACTATTATATAAATATATACAAAACAAAAATAACATACATTGATTATTCTTATGCCTAGACTACAACAAGTTATGAATAACATTCTGCCACACATGATATACACGAGAACTAAAAATTAATATTTAACTATTCAATATAAATTTCATGTTTATACCATACTAGTATGTCTCCCGTGCTTCGCACTGGCATGTTCAATATGACACCAAAATGAATATAAAATGTTAAATTTTCTTTATCAAGCAATAAAACAATAAATTTATTCAGGGAAATCATCTCTTACACAAATACAACTAAAATTGTAAAACTACTATTGTAGATAATTTAAGTAGGTATTTCTTATAGTCTTTAGTTCTTCTCATGTATATTTCGGTCTTTCTTATTACTCTTTTTTCTTTCTTCATTTCCAATGTATATATTATGAAGTTTTTTTCTGAGAAATCTACAAAATTTAGTAACATTCTATAAGAAAACTAAAAGTGTATGTTGATCCAAAAGTAAACAAAAAAAAAATATATTATAAGATTATAAAACATATTTAAAGTAAGAAAAACCAACCTGGGGTTTGGTTTGATCTTAGAGAGTAAACATGAGTTCTTGTTTCTACCGCCGTTTCTTTAGCTTCATTTTTAGTTTTCTAGCTATCACTGTACTTTCTTATGTTTGTTGCTCTCAAATTTATATTAGAGACCTGTTAAATATGCTTTAGGTGAGATTGTTGCTTTTCTTCCTTGAATAATCACCATTCTATCTAATAGACATTGCCTAGCGAATCGAAGATTAATTTAGTCCTTTTTTTTTACTGAACATTTTTTTTTTTTAAAATGATACTGATCACATGTATTAGTATTACCTTAAAAGGATAATTATTAAAAGTAGGTAAGATGAGATAAAGATCCATGAAAAATCAATATGATGCAAATTAAGATTTGAGTATTGAAAAGTTTGGGAGTATTAAATCTCACTAACCTGTATATTGATCTTCATCTGTCAGCTCTGCACTAAACTTCGCCATAAAATATTTTTTTTTCTTATCCTTGAAAAAAATATATCTTGAACGTATCATCAGAAACCATCGATACGTCTTGTTAGAAACTGAAATTTCATCACTCATTCACAAAAGATCCAATGAAGGTATTACAAAAAATTGGGAAAGTACACATGCAGGTAGAGAGTAGTTTATAATAATAGTATCGTGAGTCTAACCTCCTCTACAGAGACAATAACAGTTTTGAAAATGGTGTGATCGTGAAGTAGTGGGAGAAATATAAGGAATTTTTGGTTTATCCAAATTTTTAGTTTCTACAGAAAAATAAATAAGATTTTAGTTACGCTATTTCTTTTTATGTGTTTAAGTTTTTCTCACTGCATTTGCATTTAAAATAAAAATAAAATAAACATATTCCATGTGTTAGAATTTTATTGGCTAGATGACTTGTGATTTAGTATATAAAGGATTAGGACTATAAACATAGAATAGAATGCCACAATAAAACCATCACACTCGAAAGATACTTCCGTCATTATATAGAAAATTAGGGAAGTCTGTGCTTAGGGCAGAAATTTGTTTCAATATATTTAATTATGTATGGAATAGTATTTTGTAATTTTTTTAAAAAATTATTACTTTTAAAAAAATATTACAAAGTTCTAAATATCATAATTTAGATACATTATACATCTAAATTTTGTAAACTTATAAAAAATATTTGTAATACTTTTATTAAGAATTATATTTGATTTAATTCTAAATTTAGAATAGTCTTTTTGTTTGATGTTTGAGTGGGTTAGTTGATCCATAATTTGTGTGTTTTATGTCTTTTTTCTTTTGTTTCAAGAAAGAAATTTAATAATAATTATACTTTTAGCTTAATGTTTTCATTAGAATAGTTTAATATGTTTTAAGTTTTATTTTATATTTTATATTTTCTATCTTCTAAGAAACTCTAACACATGTGGTAGCAGGTTGTCTTACAATAAAACCAGCAAATTCCCATGGAGAATCACCACTGGTGAGAACTCCAACCATACACCATCACCGACGCCAACATTGTAAGCAAAGCACTCAAGAAGCAAAACGAAGATGGAGACAGTTCAAAGATTAGAACCTCGGAATTAAAATTAAGATATATAATGTACAGAGGACAGCAGCATTTCCTGATGTAACAGAGAGAAAATGTCAACGTGGTTTCATTTGCCGGTGATGAATGGGTGAGCTAATGCCTGTTTTACAGTCAGCCTCTTCTCGGGATCAAAGATGAAAATCTTCCCTAAGAGATCCTTGAAATGAGCTAACATCTTGGGATCCTCACCAGGGTAACCTTTAATAATTGAATCAAAATCTTTTGGCTTTACATTGACCATCATTCTCTTCATCATCTGAAAAGAAAAAACATAACATATTACTCACAGCCAATTGATTTCAAACTGCTAAGTGTCAGAGAAAACATAAGGACTGGGTTGTTACCTTTCTACTAACAGTGTCCTCCTCTGTAGCGTAAAAGTTCAAGTCATGATCCAAGTGCTGATAAATAAATGCTCTCTGTTCAACCGCAAGCATAAGTACTAGCGTTTTAAGTACACAAGACAACCATCAAAACTGTTTCCGGCTCCGTGCTTGCGCAGGGATATGTCACTAGTATCATTAACGATTAAGTTTCATTTGACTGGCGTAAGACGCTTTTAAATTTGGTAGTGAAACATTAAGAAGAAAGAAAACATTTCAGAATCACAAATTATATCTTAATCAAAACATGTACACTATATTATATTCAAGTTCATTTATTTCATTTGTGTTGTGATTTCTGATACACTTAATGGTAGTCAGAAAAGTTGTTTAAAGTTTGGATAAAAATACCTTGAAGATGAGATTTCATGCAGGTTTTGAGGGAAGCTTTGTTATTTTAGTGTCAAACTTAGCAACTAAAGTACAAACATTAACGACACTTACGCCAAGCTAAACTGTTGTACCTATTAATGACTGGTGTTTAATAGGGAGTATAAGTAAAATTACAAAATAGAATGAGACTAAGGTGAAAATTAAAGTAAGAGGACATTAAGTTTTTTTAAAAAATGTAAGAGACACATTTATTGCTAACTAAACCTAAAAATATCATTGATGATTAAGTTTTATTTGACGTAAGAGACTTTTAAATTGGGTAGTGGAAGCACATCAAGAAGAAAGACAACATTTCAGAATCACAAATTAGATCTTAATCAAAAGATTACCGATTATATATCTAACTAAAGTCAGAAAAAGTTATGAATATTTTCATGGTAGGAATAGAGGAGTCTAAGAAATGTTACCTCACAACACAGTTACAATATGGACAAATTTGTTGTAGCTTTAATTTTTTTTTTCAAATCTCCGGCGATAAACATTGATTTTAACTATTTGGAAAGTGAAAATAAAAAGAATAAAATAGGATGATGCAAGAGTGTATGTGGGATTATCGTCGCCAGCTAGAAGATCAGAATTTATAAGATTAATGTAAGTATTGCCGAAACATCTCTATTTGGAAGTTAGAAAGTTGATAAACGTTTTGAAATTGAAGATGCATGTTGATGGAGTAATTATTGATATTAAAGTATCATATGAGTTACCTTTAGTTTAAGAGGCTTTTGATATCTGTATTACAAAGTGAATAAAAATATTTGAATATCTATAATAAAAGATAGTTGAATGTCATAGATTATTATGTTTGGCCACTATATTAGTGTATGGCCAAACTAATTAAATTATCTAGTTTGCATATGATTTTTTTGGGTCAAATGTATATTTTGTTTGTGAAGTTGTTTTACTAAAAAAGATGTGCTCGGTAATAGTTTTGCGTTTGGTTTTTAAAATGATCATAAATTTTAAGAATGGTGCGCCAAGCCAATATATACGATCAATTATATATATAAAAAAATATAAATTAAAATTAATAATTAATAACTCAAAACATTTTGTAGGATCCACAAAGATAATGAGGTGGACACCTTTAAGAGAAATTAATTATAATATAGATTTATTTCATCATTTTTTACTTGTATATTCTTTTGGTCAAAAACATTTATTTGGTCTTTAGATTTTCCTATATATGCGTACAAAAGTTATATATCTATATTAAATAATGTATTTATTACTAATAGATTACAGGTAATCGGGTATATATATATTTATATAATATATATGTGCATAAAATATATGTATATATATATATATATGGAAAAGACTATTAAACAAACCACCTAACAATAATTTTAACTATTTCTATAATTTAGTTTATTTTAAAAACATTTTGCATTGTTGATTTTTGTTTTATATAATTGGAATTTCATCTCAAATGTGAAATTACAGTTTCCACTTTTGTCTTTTTGAACTGAAGAATTTTAGTTTTGACACTTTTTCTTATGTTTCTTTTTATATATTGCTTATGTTTTTCTTTTGCTTATTTTGTTATATCTTTCCCAATGGTTTGTTCTATTTTAAAAAAATTCAATTTTGAAACATATTCATAAACACATAAAGATTGAATTAATCTCTGAACATGCTAGAAAGCTTTATTTATTGTTCTAGAAAATGTATGATATATCTATACTGAATACTTCAAAAATATTAAATTTGTATTGTGTATACATTGATCTACATATAATTTAGATAGTACCCCAGTGTTTACTCATAATCGTATTTATACAAAGTTCAAAACTTCTTCACAAATTATTAATATTAATATTTTTGCAAGAAAGTAAGTTCTAAACAACCTAGCGAATATTTCTTGGCTTCTTCTAACTTTAATTTATAACAGTTTTGTCATTCTATGAAATGAGTCTGTAACTCCCCATTAAAATGATGGTCTCAACTTCTTAGATCTTTTTTTTTCAAAAAAAAAAACTTCTTGATCTTCTTGTAGGGTACATTTAGATAACTCCTCTGAGATTTCAAAAATGACAAGCCAATCATTTTCTTAATGGCCACTAATTTTTTTAACTTGAGCCTCAGTTTTTGTTCATTGAACTTTGTCTTTTTGGGATTTATAAAAGTTGCTTTAATTTTTTGTTTTCTTCTTTAATGCATTGTACCAGTTTGATTTTTTATTCTATTTCCCTTATAATGCTTTTATTTACTCTGACTTGAAATCAAATCAAACCAAAGGGCAGTTGATAGAGAGTAATAATAGCTAGTTGATTAAAAGTTTTGGGATGAGTTCTCAAGAGCTGAAGAAAAAAGAAAAAGGGAAAGAAATTGTGACTTTCGAAGAAAACCCTACCACTTCCGAAGTCTCCATGTATTTCAGTGAGCAGGGAATAGCAGCTCTCCTAGAAGCTAATAAGAAAAGTAATGCTGACGAAGTTAGTATGCAACAAAAGAAGAGTTCACCTTCAAAAATCACGCCATGCATTTTCTATACTTCAGATGAAAAGGCCCGACTACGGTGGTCAAGCGACCTTCATGATTGCTTTGTCAAAGCCGTGGATAAACTCGGTGGACCAGACAGTTAGTAACACACATTCTTCTCTATAAAACTTACACTATTCTGCTTTTGAGTTCTCGTTCCTTCGCTTACATATTCATTTTATTGATCTACTTTAATTTTGCATGGTATACCCATCTTTAGTCTCTACATTTTCATAGTTTCTATGTTTTTTTTGAGTTTTAAGATTTTTGTGAGTTCATGCATGGATGTCATCTAGGGTGAAACTGTCCTGTCTTTATATTTGTGATCGGCATCTCTATGTGAGTTATTATTTTACAAATATTTCAATTATTAGGATCATCATCATTCTTGGTATTTTTGTAGGAGTAAAAAGTGACTATAATTATTTTGTGTTTTCTAGAAAGTTTACAAGAGTTCGAGATACATATGTTTTTTTTCTAGATACTAGGAAAGTATATATTGGCTACAATTTTTTCTGTGTTTTCTAGATTATAAGTTTGCAAGGGTCTCAAGATACCAAGACTTCATTTCACTGATGGTCCTGTGTTGTTCGGTTTATTAGGCCAAACCCGCCAACCATTTTGTTTCTGGTTCTACCATTTCTTAATTTAGACTCCAGTTTAGTTTTCATGTACTATTTGGCTTAAGATCTTTAAACAATTTCAGTCCGTGAATTATTGGCATAGCCACTTTAATCGAATCATAAACACAGAACCCATAAAATTTATTTGTGCAATAAAAAAAAATTGTAGATAGATAATTTTCACAACGAAAACAATTGTAAATACATGACAATTACGGTATTCCTTTCCTTCTTTAATTAGATTGATTGACCTTAGATCATCTGAACGATTAAGGAAGAAAGTAGTATATGTTTTATACATATGTGATTTACTATTATTGTTATTTAAAAGTACATATGTGATTTAAAAGGGTATAGACTATATTTAACTTAAATTTCAGAAACGAATAACCATTTGTACAAACTTTCTGCTTCTTAGAGGAAAATAAAATATGAAAGTAGTCTCTAAGAATTGTAGGAATTTTAGATAAAGCTTTGAATCTGTGCTGGTAGTATTGTAGGAATTTTAGTTGTTAATATTTTATCTTAGCTAATTTATTGAAGCAATAAATTAGGAATGTTTATGATTTCTCTCAAATTCTTTTTGTGGCACATAAGTATTCGAATAGTGCTGTTGACAGAAAAAAAATGGATTTACCTTGGATTTTTGGATACATGATCGAAAAGTATCGACGTTACCCGTTATAAAATGGATGAAAACTTATTTTTAGCATTTTAGCAACATGACATTTATATATTGTGAAAATCAATCTATAATCATATATCGGTCCAAATCTAACTTCTGATATACGAAAAAAGAGAGTATTTATACCATCATTGTTCATTAGATCTTTCTTACGATGAATTGTTATCCTGAAGGAGTAAAACATTTTAAAAGATTGTAGCATGGTTGGTGAGATGACTAAGTTCATATACACATATGTGTAAGTACATATAAAAGAGAATAAAGAACTATATGACATCTACTTCTGTGACTACAGAGGCAACACCAAAAGCTGTCAAAGATACGATGGAAGTTGAAGGAATTGCACTTCACCATGTTAAGAGTCATCTTCAGGTATATTATCCTATCTTCTTCATATGCATCAAAATTAAGTTTGAGTTTTTGTAATCTATTTAACACTCAAATCTTCGTATCTTTCCAGAAGTTTAGACTTGGAAGATGTAACATACGGGATGAAACAGATCACTATAATACACGTATGTTTCAGCTCCGTTGCTTTATGTTTTCGCTTCTATGTTTTCTTCTTTAGTACCATTCTTGTCGAAATTCATTTTAACTATTGTTTTGACAAAAATATAAAGGATGAGTCGTATATATATAAAAATATACCAACCATCTGCTTTTGTACAAGTCTTCTTTCTAAAGTTTACATATATATAAATGATCATATAAAATTATTGCTGGTCAATTTTGAAACCATATATATATATATATATATATATATATTCATAACTTATAAACTTTAAAGTTAAATACTTTTGCTGATGTTTCTATTCTATGGTATCTGTTTAAGATATTAAACATATATTTTAAGTAAAAGGGTATTAGAAACATTATCTTATAAAAGTAACTTATATATGAAAAATAGAGAAAATTTCTCGTTATCCTTTACCTATTGCTTTTCATTATTTTTTATTTAATTAATTGAATCTTGAACACTATATATGTGTGTATATATATACAAAAAATTACACGAACATATCAAATGTTTTGTATTCTATCTTGTTTCTAAAGGTTATAGAACTGGTCGACGTATGGATAAAGCATATGGTGCATCAAATTCACCTCGCCCACAAGTAAACATGTAAGATAAATAAATAACCACATAAATATAGATCTCATAACTTAGAACAAGTTTCTATAACAAAACTGGTCTTATCATGACATATGAGATCTCTAAACATAATGATACAAAATTGAGTAGAAGACCCAAAGTTATGGGAGATGTGAAGCCAAAGAAGGCAAAAGAAGACCATGGATCACTTTACATGCTTATAAAGGTAGAATTTATTATTATTTTTCATTAATCGAAAAATATGTATATCGAATTGTTTTGCACTACTTTCTAAAATATTTTGTAGCGCGATCTATATTTACAAAGATGTCGCGAGGCAGAAAGAATGCAAATGACTTTCGAAATAGAAAATAACCATAAAATGTTGGAGGCACAGCATTTACAAGCAAGCATGGCTCCATCTATAGCCAGTCAACACATGAACCATATTTCAACAACCACTCTTACAACTCAACCGTCACCATCACAAACATTAGATCAGTTGTTAACAGACCACTACTTCGGAAGACAGACAAGTGATACACAACAACCAACTACTATGATTCCACAGACTACCACTTCTATTGAAATCTTTTGCAACAACAATATGGCGCTTTGTCTGCCCAAGTGTGAGTTACCACAGGAGACAAGTATTACATGTTCAATGAACGAGCCACAACATGTACATACATCAGTGATACATTCAACTCAAGGAAAGCCTCAATTTAACAGCAGCCACAACTACAACATGGATCAAGGTTTCATTCATCCGTATGTGACTACTGAGTCACAGTTGATACCTGGCTCGTCCACTATCACAACTAAGCCAGAACTTCATCACAACGATGATTGTCTCATTCACGACTCATATCGCAAGCCAAATTTCTTACCACAAATAGTTGAGTTGCTTCATCAGGTAATCACACTTTTTTGACGATTGATCTTGCAAATATGTAGGAAATCACACAGTCTTTACAAAGTATTTTAGTGGTAATTGTTTTAATTCTTTAGGGTACTTCCAACATCACATTTCCATTCTCGACGACGGCACCCGAACCATTACAAACATATGTTCCAAGCCATACTTATAACTATCCTGAATACAATACTCTTGAAAGGATTAAGACCCAGCTCAGTGCATTACAAAACTTAAGCACAAGGAGCATTCAAGCAACGACTTCTCGTGAAATCAACGTATCATCTTCTGTCACAAGGGATGATGAGGAAGATCCAGTGGATATGTATATTGACTGGGGTTAATATGAAGAACTCGATATTGATGAACTAGATCCAGTTGAAGCACTCCTGGCTTTAGGTTTTTGAATAAGTCCTTAACCTTAATTTTAAAAGTCTCAGTACTGTTGTGTTTTATACGTTGATCAAATGAAGCATGCATTATAAAGTCAGAAAACTTGATTTACCTTTATCAGTTTAGTTTTTGTTTTGCTAAAATTTATCGGTTTACATAAGAAAAATAACAAATTTAAGTTGGAACTGTGACGCGGTTTTTTTCATCATCAACACTACGCCAACCAAATGTTTTCTCATGTCTACCCTTGGAAATTCTGCATGTATTCATCAATAGAATTTATTGTATTTATATTTTCTCTTCATAGGGAATTTTAAAAAATAACATATATTTATTGTTTTATTAATAAAATAACTTATATTTTTAAAAATTAATTAGAAGATATATATGGTCTAATATCTCTTGTCCATAGTTATACCAAACAAACTGAATTATAACAGTGCTGTTGACACATAATCATTAACAAATTGTTTTGATAAAATAGCTATGTTGTTAAATCTGTTGCAAAAATAAAATCTGTCAAAAGCGTGGTGCAAAACTTTTTCCTAAATATGGTAAATTGTTTTTGCGGTAGAATTGATTGTCCCATTTTATCTGTAAACAGATTTTAATGGATACATTTGGCAAATGAAATAGACATTTTGTTATAAATGATAGATTTTATGTTAGGCTTAATTTTTCATGTCCGATTTGCGTAACCAGTTTAAATTTGCAGCATACAGTATCCTCTATATATTAATGGAAAAAAGATCTGTAGCTACACCAACTATTGGTGAATGTATCTTAAACCAACTGAAGTATTAAAATATATCTCCAACTACACAATCTCTTTGAAATGTATCTAATTAACCATGCGGGGTCTAATTAGATCCACTTAAAAATTTTCAGGGTCAAATCGAATTTTTATAACTTTATCTCACCCGACCCAGAATTTTTCAATCCGACCATTAAAATTGACCCGACCTAATCTCTTATCTATTTTGCTTTCTTTTTTCACGATATCTTCACTTCTCAGCCACAGAAAGAACAAAAAAAAAACGTGAAGATGGAAAGGGGCTCTGGATCATCGAGGAAGATAAAGAATTTTTGTCAGAGATTATGTTCTTGTGGATTACCTGTGACTGTAAATCAAGCTTGGACGGACAGAAACCCAACTCGGCGATTCTATGGATGTCCACGTTATAAGGTATGAGATTTATAATTAGATTCCTTAATTAGCAGTTCAGATGTTAAATATTGATTTGATATGCAGTTTGGATCTTTTGACAGCTGGAAATGAATGCAATTACTTTTCTTGGTTTGATGAAGAAGAAGGTACACTAAGGCAAACAAAAGCTTTGATTAAAGCACGTGATGAGATTAAGAAGAAGGATAAAGAGATTGAGAAGAAGGATAAAGAGATTGAGAAGTTAAACAAAACCATAGAAAAGATGAATATCGATTTGGAGAAGAAACAAATGGAGACAATGAATATCCAAGATGAAGATGATATTGTGAGAAAGTTTGAAGAATGCTATGTTTAGTGAAGTGTAAGTGTCTAAATTTAATGATGGAACTTGTTTAAGTAAGTGTAAGTGTCTTAATGAACTTGTTTAAGTATGTGTAAGATTTTATGTATGTTGGAGTGGTAAATTGTAAGTGTCTAAGCTTAATGAATCTGTTCTTTATGCTAATGAGTTGAATGGAAAAGTCTTGATATCACAATAAAGAGAGTTTAAATAAGTGCATCCGAATTTAGTACACAACAAACCAATGTCAAGTCTTAGCTGATACCAAACACAAAACAACATCCTAATTTAGTACACAACAAACCATTGATGCACCACCTTAAGCTTAGCCGATACCAAACATAAAACAACATCCTAATTTAGTACACAAAACAACATCCAAAACAACATCTTTAAAAATGTCATCACCACATCTTCAATCATCAGAACCAAGTTGGTTTGTTTGCGCCCTTGTCGATGGTCCTTCTTCTAGTTGGTCATGAGTTCCTTGAGCTTTTCAGTTGCTTGAGTTTCTTTGATGCGCCTTCTTTTTACCTTATTTTCTTTAGACTGAAAAAAGAAAAAAAAAGAAATGAGAAGGCACTAAGAGAAATACAAAACCAATACAACTAAAATGGAAGTACCTCATTAGGACATTTCTTGGAGTTATGTCCTTTTTTCACTGCATACACCACAATGCATTTCCCTTCCTTTTCTAGACACATTTGTTTCGGGCTGTTTCTTACACTTCTTTGGTGATTCATTAACACCTTTAATACGTGTTTTACCTTTTGGTCTACCAAGAGGACGCTTATAAGGTGGTGCATCAATTAAATCCCCACCAGAAAACGTCCAAAACTTTGGTCCATTTATAGCCCGCAATCCATGCCTATAAACGTCTTGCCACTTAGATGTCAAGTAATAATCTGAAATGAAATCATCAACTTCCATACCATTCTCTCTGATTGCACACACGGCATGACAACAAGGTATCCCAGTCAAGTCCCACTTTCGACAAGCACAAGTTCGCAGATTCATATTCACGGCATAACCATCCAGGTTCTGGACAATCTCAAACTCACCACCCGTACTTGAAATTGAATAACAATTCTGCGCTTCATCATATGCCTTTGCGATCTCTTTTCTTGCTTTTGGTGTGTATCTCCCTATCTCACCATCAGCAGTTTTGGATCTGATTGCAACCCTTTTCATTGCGTCTCTTCTTATCAACTCCAACATCTGCACAAAAGGCTTCTTCCTTGCAATCTTTAATGTTCTATTGAAAGACTCAGTTAAGTTGTTATGTGTGTCGGAACAACAAGCACCAACCCTGAAAAAAAGCCCTACACCAAGGGTGATGATCCTTCTTCAACAGCTCCGCATAAGCTCTGGGATCATAGTTTTCAAATATTTTCGAATTCCTATCAAAATCAGGTTTGTTGTAGCTACTTGCAATCCGCCAAACAAGAGTTTCAACATGTCGGACTTGTGATTCTTCTTGAGGTTTGAGTAAACGTGCCTTGCACAAGATCTATGTTCTGCTCTTGGTAGCTCAACTGCCACGCCATGGATCAATCCTCTATGCATATCTGAAATAATGGTAATCTGCTCACCTAATCCTAGCCCCAAGTCCTCCTTCAGTCTGTGAATAAAGCACTGCCAACTATCATTGCTCTCACCCGTTACCACACCCCAAGCTACTGGAAAAATCTGGTTGTTTGGATATCTACCTATAGCTATCAAGATCAGTCCCTGCAGTGAATGTTTGAGGAAGGTTCCATCCAACCCAATTATGGGTCTGCAGTTTTGCTTCCATGCAATCCGTAATGAGTCAAAGCAAACATAAAAACTGCTAAAAACATGACCTCCGATTACATTTCTAGTGGTGTTGATCTCTATAATCGTATCAATGTTTGACTGTTTGAGCTCCACCATATAGTCTCTCAGCCTTGCAAACTGCTCATTACACTCAGCTTGTAGCTTATCAAGTGTAATTCTCCTTGCATTTTGCGATTGAGGAACAGTGATGATGATGTTATAGCTGTCCCTCATTTATTCTTGGATTGCCGGTCCACTCATTTCTGGATTTGTTCTCATCTTTTCTAGCATTAAATCAGCTATCACAGGAGCCTTTATACTCTTGCACCGACCAGTTGGGTGACAAGTGTGCTTGTTTTAATACACCTTCACCATCCACTGGTTAATTGGTTTCTCTACGGAGCAGTAGATACGCCAAGGACAACCCTTTCCATTGTAGTGAGCACCAATCTTTGTTTTCTCCCATCTATCATACACCACATTTTGTCTAGTCTTCAAGATGTAAGAGATCACCTGTTTCTTGAACTCTTCTCCACTGGAAAATGTCTGTCTTAAGCTGAGTACACCATCTAATAACCCTGCGCGAGCCATCCTTTCAGCCTGTTCCTCTTCCTCATTTGATGATTCTTCAGTATCTGGATACACTTCATCATCATCAGGAATCTCATCATCATAGGTGTTATTTATCACATCAATATCTTCCTCAACATGCCCATCATTCTCATTGCTTTCATCATCTGTAGCTCTCAAATCGGACCAACTATTGTCTTCACTTTCCTGAAATATTACCATTTTCTTCATAATCTTCATCCTCTTCATCTTCTTCGTTTTCATGCTCTCCTACTTCCTCATTAACAATGCTCACATCGTTCTCATGCTCTCCTTTCTCAATCATTCTCGCTCCCACTTCGACCACTGTATTTTCCTGCGCCTCATTCACTTCTTTTTCATTGATTCTCTCATCTTCACCTATCCTTTCAATGTAAAAAACTATTTCTTTCATCCAACAGCCTCCAGTCGTCAAATTCTTCTTAGATTGATCAATATTGTCCGACAAAGCCTTCCTATCTTCTAAATCTTCAAATGGTAACTTATACCACATATTCCCCAACTCCGTTTTGTGCACCATTTGAAACACCACATCTTCAAAGATTGTCACTCCATCAACTTCTAATACCTCAAATTTTCCATCAGCATAAATTAACTTACCATCCTCAGTTTTGAATTTTCCTGAATGGTAGCAATTCACCTTCACTGTAATTTCTCTGAAAAAAATCACCAAGAACAGAGTAAACATCTTCATTGAGGCATTTTAACGAACACGTTATATGCTATTTTGAAAATTGAACTCAGACTTACAAAAATCACAACCAAAAGAAGAACACAAAAAAATGTGGAATGTGTGGAAATCAAAGTACATACCTCATGATTTATATTACAATCCACACAAAAACACTCTAATAATCTCTCTTCCTCTTCGCATACGGTTTCAGTTTGAAGAAATCATCAGATTTTATCTTCGGATTTTGTTCTTTTTGTGGCTGAGAGATATCGTGAAAAAAGAAAGAAAAATAGATAAGAGATCAGGTCGGGTCAATTTTAATGGTCAGATTCAGATTCTGGGTCGGGTGAGATAAGTTATAAAAAATTGATTTCACCCGAAGAGTTTTAAGTGGATCTAATTAGACCCCACATGGTTAATTAGATACATTTCAAAGAGTTTGTGTAGTTGGAGATATACTTTAATACTTCAGATGGTTTACAATACATTTGTGTAGCTAGAGATCTTTTTTCGTATATTAATTGAGAAGCATTACAACAAGTTTTAGTAGACACGTGTCATCATGAGAATGCTTCTCAAATTTACTAGAGAAAAATGTTGGTTCGTATAAACATATAATATACTTTTGTTAAACTAAACATAAACCTATTATTAATGATATTCATTATTTCCTTAAATAAAATTTACGGAATTACCTATGGTTATAATATACATATATGACAATTAATGATTCCAATATGAAGATTTGATAAAACAATTTATAGCCTCTACTATTTTTGTTAAACTTATATTGTGAAAATAAATTAAACAATAACATTAACTATATAACAAAAAAAAATTAGATTTTTTTTATATATGTTATATTTTGAATTTTTTAAATGATTATAAATTAATAAAATATTGAAAATTTCACTTATAATATTTTTGATTAGTAGTTTAAATCCCCTATATATTAATCCTCGAACATTACAATATTCTTTTGTAGCCACGTATCACAATGAGAATGATTTTTATAACTCTTAGAGAAATATGTTGGTACAACTAAACATATGTTATATTTTTATTATACTAACTATCATATTTAATTAGTAGTGTAAAAAATAATATATCATATTCCTTCCTTAGATAAAAAAACTACAGAATTACCTAATATCATTAACATATGTATCACAATCTTACTATACTAAAAGGGAGATATACTTCACCCTCATGCTGCCACATCAGCAAAAATAATGCTTATCCGTGTTGGGCTTTTCGTTTGGGCTTGAAATTCTAAATTTATGATTGTTTTTCGACAGCCCATTCGGCCCAGATCCTGAGAAGATAGTGTAACCCTGTCATTCTTGCCTTACCTCCTTTCTTCTACACTCATCTGCGGCTTGAGCGATTCGGATTCTCAACCGATGACGATTCATCAACACCAATCCATCACTCCAGTCGATGTGTATCAATTAGGGGAAGTTATTTGACCACGTCATATAAGCTACAGAGGGAAGAGAACTATTTGACGCATCCATAGCGTCCCACTTCGTCTTCACCAACTTGGTTCTCAGTGAGGTCCGTTACGTTGTGCTTTCTTTGATCAATCAATGGTGCTCTTAAATTCCTTCTAAGTAGTTTCGGTTCACCTCCCTCTCTTTTATGCTCATATATAGATTGCTCAAATGCTTCGTCTAAAATTACATGCAAGCAAACCCGAAAATCTCCAGTGAAGAATCGAAAGCTCAAGAAAAAAATCCAACCGAAATTCCACCCAAACCCGAATTAAGATTTTGAATCTTAAGTTATGGTGATGATCAAATTCTTTTTTTTCTTCAATGGTGTTGATAACCCCTTTGAGTTTTGATGTCAATTCATTTGATCAAATATAAGGGATTCTCACAATTGTTTTTTGTTTTGTTTCGATACGGTTGAAGTGCCGTAGTGATTGCTTTAA